ATTTCAACACCCATGCAGGCAAAGACAAAAACGACGACCAACACCAAGAGGCATACGGAGAGCATCGTGCGCACCGACTTTGTGAGCCCACAGCAGAGCCTCCACAGCTCCCTGAACTGCTCGATGAGCCTCACCGCCCTGACAAGCCGCATCAGGCGGAGGACACGGAGAGTGAGGACCTGGGATATGACTGGCACGTCGTCCGCATTCGACACCGGCTCGAGGGGCTCGAGGATCCAAGAGCAAACAGCACCGCTGAGCACCAGCGTAACATCAAACCAAAACCACTTGAGCTTTAGATTGTGAACCCCGTCTGCCACCCAGCGCACTACGAGCTCCAGTATAAAACATATCAGAAAGAACGACTCGAACCATGCGAAGTGAACTGGCAAGTCGCCTTCCAGCCTAAGCTGGGTTTCGATACCTATACAAACAGAATTCGCCACTATAATGAAGCCAACCACAGCATCGAATCTAGATCCTTTATGGATAAGCCGTTGTGCCTTCAAGCGGAGCTTCTCATAATAACTCATGTTATTCGCAACGCTCAGCACATTGCTTGAATTCTGCACCATATCTCGCCAGCGCTGATCGCTGCTGCGAGTTCTTTGTGGTGTAACCCTCTTTGCGGGGGCGCGCTGCATTTGTGATGTTGACGTTCTCGCCTCGCTTTTGGATGAGTGCCGGGGTGAGAGATTGGCAGAGTGGTCCTGTCCTTGGTTGACCGAGTCAGATCCCGTCCCCAGGAATCCCTTGGTTAAACGCTTACCAGGGCGGCGCTCTGTATGGCGCAATGCCTCGAACTCCGACCGGACTACATCTCGTAAGAAATCCTCGATCGTGCCTTGCATCACGTCGCGAAGCTGCTTCAACTGAAGCTGCGTGAACCCCTCCGAGCCCATGGTCGATCACAATTCACACAAGGCCGCTGGCTGTGCGCCACAATCCCCCCGGCGGTTCAGACTGTCTGCACGACGATCACGCACAAGCCACATCAAACCAGAGAATACAACCAAAATGACGACGGATTACGAGCAGAAGAGTAAATGCGTCCAAATAGGCAGGTCGATAAAAGGGAAAAGAGCAAAAGGAGGAACAGGAATCATGACAGGGAAATGGAGGCAAATGAGGGAAGGGGCGGAAAGAACGAGGCACACCTGGAGAACGAGCTGTTGGCCAGCAAATGCCGCTTGGCAAATTGAGTCACCAGGAAGTCCCTATCAAAACAGGCGCAAGTATTTGCTAGCCTGGTACTCCGGAAAGACATGGGAAAGTCCGCGGTGCTGCACCTTCCCTCTCAGACCATATCTATCCCTATGCATGTGAATTCATACCGCACCAGAACCCTATCAGGCAGTGCGACGACGACTTCTGGCACATGGAGCAGCGACATGCTGCTTCTCAATCCTAGCGCCCGCCTGGCCCACCACCACCACCAAATCAGAATGTGAGCAGGTCCGTGAATACAGAAAAGTAAGGGAAGCTGAGTAGAAGTAAATAGAGCATGGGGTTGAAGGGTGAAGGGGGGGGGGTGGCAGGATGCAGGACAGAGCAGAGGGAGGGGGATGGAGCAGGGAAGGGGCGGGAGAGGGGGAGGGACAAGGGCCAGGACAGGGGGAGAGGCCAGGGACACGAAGGGAGGGGTAAGAAAGTGAGAGACGAGAGGGCGAGAGCGCGAGCGCGAGCGAGAGCGAGAGTGAGAGCGAGCGAGCGAGAGAGAGCGAGAGAGAGAGAGAGGAAACAAACAAATTACATGAGAGCACCGAGGGCGAACATTGCGAGCAGGAAGGGAGCGGTACGAGAGAGCGAGTAGAGCGAGGAGAGAGAAGGAAGATATGGATGAAGCGGAGGAGGAAGGAGGAAAGAGGAGCAAGAGGAGGGGAAGGCGGAGGAATGAGGAGGAGGAAAAGGACTGGGAGGGGAGGAGAAGGAGGATAAGGAGGCGGAAACATAGGAAGCCAATAAACGTCCCACGAACACGACAACCCGTTCAACAGATCGTCGATGGGCACGTGGCCGTTTTCGGAAACCGTCATCAATATCACCAAAACCATGAACATCATCGGTATTGTGACGCCCTGCGCCATTCGCTGATGATGTCTGGCACGTCGCGGTGATCATACGGCGCTCAAGCGAGAGGGATGGGCGGCGCTACACAAGCGAACCGCCCGAGACATCCAAAACATCTGGGCGCAAACGGGAAAATTAAGTACCTCTGGCGGCTCCCCCTTGGGGCGCCCAGATGCCACGCCTGCTACAGCGCGGTGACCATGCTGCTCTGACAAGAGAGGGGTCGTCGGCGCCAAATAAGCGAAACGCTCCAGGCATCCCCACAATCTGGGCGCGGACGGGAAAATGAAATCCCACCGGCCCTCTGGGCGTAGGAGGTCTAACGAGCTCGTTCTTTCCTCGTCACAAATCCTCTTCCCTTCGGGGAGGGATACCCTCCCCCTCCCCTCCCTGAGGTTTTGCGGCGGGGGGAGGTGTCAGAGGGTCCTTGTTCGCCCAAGATGGCTCCAAGAGGGCCTCCGATGCTCCAAGGTGGCCTCCAAGATGGCTCAGGATAGCGCGAGATCGCTCAAGATGACCTCCATCATGGCTTCAAGCGGCCCCAAAGGGCCACAGGACTGTTCCAAGTGCTCTCGGACCCCCCACAAGACCCCCCGCAAAAAAAAACGTCCCAACGCCTACGGGAAATCATTGATGATTGCCTTCTCGCCTTTTCGCTTGCGATGCGATTTAAATACCTCAAGATGAAGCTGGCTCCTCCTCCTCCTCCTCCTCCTCCTCCTCCTCCTCCTCCTCCTCCTCCTCCTCCTCCTCCTCCTCCTCCTCCACCTCCACCTCCACCTCCTCCTCCTCCTCCACCTCCTCCTCCTCCTCCTCCTCCTCTTCCTCCGTGGCCATTTTGGCTCAAGATGTGCGGTTCCCGCGGGGGCCAAACGGATACCGCTAGTCCGCGGCAGCTTTCGTTTCGCGCGGCCTGTCCCCGCAGGCTAGGACCATCGCCCGTGCCAGCGCGCGGGCTGCTCCTGGCGTTGGCGGGCACTGGAGGCGCGACGGCGAGGGCGACAAGGAGTGCAAGATGGCTGGCGGCGCGCGCGCCGCGGGCCAAGGGTGCTGTGCGGCAGGACTGGACGCGCAAGTCCTGCGTCAGCAGGAGAGGGCGAGCAGTCATCAACTGGGGGACGGCGCTCAAGTGTCAGAGTTGCAGGCTGCCCAGGGCCACGTGCTTAGGGGCGAACGTCCCGCTCCCGGCGGCGGCCAAGTCGAAGTCGAAGTCGGGCGCGGCGCCTGGCGGCGGCAGCGGCAAGGCCCCTCCCTGGGCTGGGCCGCCGCTCTCGGTGCAGCTGGCCCAGGCGCAGCGCGAGCTTGCGGACCTCAAGAAGCAGCTCAAGGCCGGTGGGCCCGCCAGCGCTGGCGGGCCGCTAGGCGGGGCGCAAGCAATGGAGGTCGACGACAGCGAGGGCGCTGGAGCTGGCGACGCGGCGGTGCTCGCGGAGATCCACATGTGCGAGTCGGGCCTGCACGCCATCAAGGATCAGACGGCGGACTGGGCCACGGCGCCGCGGAAGGAGCTGCGCGCCAGGCTGGAGAAGGCCAAGGCGCGGCTCTTCGCCAGCAAGCCGCTCCACGCACGGACGCATGCCATCGCCAACAAGGCCAAGCAGTGCGCCGAGCGCTTGGAGAAGGCGGAGGGCAACAAGCGGAAGGCGCAGGAGGCCTTGCGGCAGGCTGTGGAGGAGGTTGAGCGCGCGGAGAAGGTGCATGCCGACCTCCTGGAGCAGCAGGCGGCGCTGCAGGCCGAGCTTGCGCAGCTGCAGCAGCAGGCGCCCCAGGCTCCACCGCCGCGGCCTGCGGGCCAGGCCATGGCGCAGGACGTCATCGGCGGGATCAGCATCACGGTGGGCGAGCTGGAGACCATCGTGCTGCAGCAGCTCTCGGCCCACCCGAACGAGGAGCAGCCTGTGCCAGCGGAGGCGCAGAAGCGCATGGCAGGCGCGCTGGGCGAGCGCATCGCGGAGTCGCGCATGTCCAAGCGGGCGCGGCGCGAGGAGGAGGAGGAGGCCCCCGCCGAGGAGCAGGCCGGCGCCAGCCAGGACCTCGCCAGCACCGCAGGTGTGGCGCGTGAGGGCGCAGAGCGGGACGGGCAGCCCCAGCCAGCGCCCGAGGCAGCAGCGCCTGGAGGCGGCGGCAGCACGGCCGTCGCGCAGCGCTGGCAGCCAGAGGAGGAATCGGTGGAGCAGCTCCAGCAGCAGCTGCGGAAGCACAGCCTGGAGCTCGAGGGCGGCGAAGAGTCGGCCGCGCGCGCCCGCTGCGCTGCGCTGGCCAGCTGGGGCTTCCAGCTTTACTGGGATCCTGCTGTTCCTCGGCACGAGGTTTGGCGCATGGCGAAGGGCGGCATCTTCACGGCGAACGTGACGGCGGGGGGGTCCCTGACGCCGTGCGTCGAGGGCATCTGCGAGCGGGCAGAGGCCGCGGTCCTCCCGGTCCAGGAGCACCACGCCAGGGACCACGACAGGCTAGCCGCCTTGCAGCAGGCCGTGCTGGATCACGGGTGCGCGGGGCTCTGGGCGCCAGCTGTCCAGGGGCCCCGCGGCGAGGCAGGCACCTCTGGCGGGGTGGCGGCCCTGGCGCGCTCGCACATCACAGTCACCGGCCCGCCTTTCCTGGAGGGCCCCGTGCTTCTGGCCGCGCGCCCGGCGGCCGCCCATGTGCACTGGGGAGTGGCGGGCGGGCCCGTCGTCTTCTCTGCGTACTTCCACGACAGTGCGGGGTGTAACGCGAACAACCAGCACGCGGCGGCCGTTCTCATGAAGTACCTGGCCAAGCTCAGCGCGGCTGGGATCGACTGGATCGCGGGCGGTGACTTTAACATGGAGCCCGCGAAGTTTCCTGCGCAGCAGCTCCACGGGGTCCGTGGGCTGTGGGCGGCGGCAGAGGATGCCACCTGCTGGCCGCGCGCCGGGGCCTGGTCGACGCTGGACTATTTCCTCTTCGCAGCCAACCTCGCTCCGAGGCCCGGCAGGCCGCAGGTCGACGAGCACGGCACGACGAAGCCGCGCCTGCCCGTAGCAGTGGAGCTGCACGCGCAGGACCTTCCGATGCAGGTACGGGTGGTGAGGGGCCCGCGGCCGATCGGCCCCGCACCGCCCGTGGGCTGCAGCCGCGTCGTCGGGGTCTGGCGCAGGCCCCTGGCCAAGGTGCGCACAGCCGTCAGCCGAGAGCACCTCCCCGAGGCCTGGGACGCCGCGGTGGCTACTGCCGAGCAGGAGCTTCTTGAGCGTTACGACGTCGTCGGGCACGACAGGACCAAGTACGTCGGCAGGTCTGGCGCTCTGGAGACGACTCTCGTCGCTGTCAAGTGGCGACCCCCTCGACGCAGGACCGCGCTTGGTCGCCAGGCCGCGGCGTGCCGCGCGGCGTCGAGGCGGGCTCGGCACCCGATGGGGGTCGGGGCGTGCGTCGCCAAAGCGGTCCGCCAACTCCGCGGCGCCAGCCTCCGCTGCCCGCTGTTCGATCTCGACAAGATCATCGCCAGCCGCGGCACGCTGGCGCTGCTGCCGCACTAGGTGCAGGACTTCTTCGGCCAGCGGATGCTGATGTTCGCGCAGGCCGACTTCGCGGGCCAGGCGTCGAGGGTCGTGGGGTACGCCAACGGTCAGTATGAAGCGGCCCTCGCGGCGCAGCAGAAGGAGTGGGTCAAGTGGGCCAACGAGTCCTTATCCCACGGCGCTGGCCGCGCCCATCGGTGCTCCAAGGTCAGGGACTTGCAGGAGGTGATCATGGACTGGCATGGCCAGCAGCAGGACGCGAGCCCGCACCTCGCATGCGATCGGGAGATGCAGCCGCGGGCAAAGGCGCGGCGGCGCCATGGGCTGCAGCAGGCGCGCAGGCCTGCGGACACTAAGGAGCGGGACGCGCTGCCCGAGCTCACCGTCGACAAGATGAAGAAGGCTGCGCTCTCATTCCCCACGGGCACGGCGATGGAGCCTGCCAAGATAGGCATGCGTGCCCTGACTTCCCTGTCCGAGGACGGCATGAATGTCTGCGCGCAACTCTTCATGCGAATGGAGAAGTTGGGCGCATGGCCTCATGGCAGCCCGTGGCAAGCCATGCGTCGGCTGCCCATGCCCTCTGGAGGGCGCCGCCTCATCACGCTCACGCATTCTCTGGCGCGCTGGTAGTCGAGGGCGCGGGCGGACATCTCCAAGGGCTGGCTCGCGCAGCACTCCGGCGTCGACATATGGGGGCTCGGTGCGGGCAGGTCGTCGTCTGATGCAGCGTTCGACCTGAACCTCGATACCGAAGTAGCGGTCGCGATGGAGGAGCAGGTGATCACCGTGCTCCTGGACGCCTGGAAGTTCTTCGAAA